CTCGCGGATAAATTAAAACACGAATTGAGTTAGTTCCATTCTTGGAAAAAGACTGCTCCTTTAATTTCAATCTTAGCTTATTTATAACATTTGCAATATTTACTTAACAATTAATTTCTCCATAAGGCGTTGGCATTGCATTATGCTATGATGAAATGCCAATGTCTTGGACAAAGAAGTTATTTGACACCTTTGAATGGAATTTTCCATTCAGAGCGGAAAAAATATATCAAATTTAGATTTTTGACAAAGAAGTTAAATGAGTCATCAATTATGCAGCTGGGAGGTTGCATAGGTAAGTGGACTTCAGTACGAAAACTATTTTCTTTATAAAATTAACAAACATGTGGATAAGACATTTGTTAAAATCTTGAATCAACCAAAAAGTAACAAATTAAAGCTTTAAATGCATTTGTATTACCCTTTTTTACGTTTTGGAATCAAGGTCTAAGTAAATTTTTTGATTGAGTTTAAAGTCCACATTTGAAACTTCTTGCAAAAATTATAAAAATTCAACAAACTTTAACAATTACGCCCAAAAATTTTAAACTTGTTTTTTAGGACTTTTAGGTATGTAGTTTTGTAGTCCATTAAATTTAAGTACGTAAAAGTGAAAAGTTCAAGACGCTAGGAAATCGCGTTCATTTTTAATAATTTTTGGCTGAGGGTGCTAAGCATTTTCTTCTATATAAAAGGCACCATCCTAAGATAAAACGTGAGTGAATTTAACCCCTACTTGGCTTCTTAATATTTAATCTTTTTTAATATTTAATCTTTATATATGGACCACACTAAAGGCTCCTTTTCATATAAAAATTTGTACGTGTCCTTCCCGTGACAAACGTTGTCCTACCCGTGACAGAGGAATTTCGGATTTTTTGTATAATAAAGCCATAATTTGTTAGTAGTTTTTGCTTTGTTTGTGTTCCTGGTTCTATGTTTTATTATAAGACATCAAGTGCACAGAAAAGTGAAATAAATTCGCAGAGTTTCCGTAAAATATATCTGCTCCAAAAAGCAGGTTCTTTTTTTGTCCCACCCGTGACAGAAGAAATAAATCAGATTTTTCGCATATAAAAGTAAGCTGTTTTTTTTTCGTATTTTGTATAACTCTTATAATAGTCAATTAGGTGTAGCTTTATCAAAATGTAGAATTATTCTGTACTTTATACTTAACCCTTTCGGTACATCTTTTTAGATTCGGGCTTTAAAAATCCAATTTTTTTATTAAATGATCCTTAATACATAATATAATAACATTCAATTTAATGTTTTTCCAAAATGCGATTCTAAAGTGTTTTCTGGAATGATGCCATATGGCATATGGGGTAAAAAATACGCAAAGTTTTTTTAATATGGTATTTTATTTAATTCAAATCAAATTTAACAGCACCACAAAAATTTAATAAAATAAGTTGGAACATGCATAGATTTAATAATTCATTTAAAAAATTTACCAGTTGCAATTTCCCAGTACAAATATATCGTTATTTGCTGGTGCGGATTTCAGCTCCTTCAAATATTATTGATGCCATATGGCATCATACACATTTAAAAATATACCACGCGTTTATTAGCACTTTTTTAAATTAAATTACAAAGATCTAGCAATATTTGACACTATTTTGGATACTATAGCATATATATCTGTTTTTAATTTATTGAGTTATTTGGTAAAATATAGTATTTTAATGTAGACCTTTCTAAGCAGAAGAAAATCGATATTTTAGTAAAGTTTTAAAATTGAAATTTTTCATCTACTATGGATAAAAATAAGAATACCGTATTAAAATATAGTTTATAAAACTTCCCATTACAGCGTTGCATATAAAAATATAATTTCAGATAAGCTCAATAAAATCTGTGAGTATTCAAAAAAGCATGACGCCATATGGCATCAAAATAGCGAAAGGGTTAAATTTAAACAAGAAAGAAAATTTTTTCTGTACAAATGTCCAACCCGTGACGGTGGAATCGCCCAGCTGCATAATTGCTGAGTTTGCAAAATTGCATTATGAATCCGCAAGATACAAATTAATAAAAAATATTTTATATTTACTACTGTGCCGCTATGTGTGGTCTGCCGTTAATTTGCACACATAGGGAATCTAGACCAATGATTTGATGGTATTCATGGGAAAGTTTATGTAGGTACATTTACATACATATTTTACACTTTGAACATAAATGTGTATGCACACATTTTAGGGTACACTTCTTAACAAACACATTTTTTAAGTTATTATGAATGGTTAAAAGAGACATCTTCTTTGAATTCAGTACTAAAACATGACATTTTAATAGTATTTCCAGTGCTTACCAAAATTTTACGACATTCACATATTGATAAGATTGGCCATTTATGTAAAAATTATTTAATTTTAATTATGTGTTTATAAAAATGCAGTTTATACTTTAACAAAACCCGTATAAATCCAAGGTTCAATCTTTGCGCAACATTAAAAAACAAACAGATTTCCTAGAAATACAAATTTTGAGTATGTAGTTTTGTAGCCCGATTAATTTAAATAAAGTTAGTTAGCTGCGACTTATTGTTGATTTTTAATATTTTTATTTTTTTTGATGAAGGTGATGGTCATTTTCCTCATTAAAAAAAATCGTCGAACATACTTAGACCGACATCGTCAAAAAAATGTCACCCATCAACGGTAAATCCCAGCTACTTGAAACTTGCACTTTATTATAAAATTCAATGAGAAAAAATTGATATAGAAAGCTGGAAATTTTTACGAAATTGTCGATTTTTTTTAATTATGTTCAAAGATTTAAACTTATTTTTCTACAGTTTTTGTTAAGGAATAAACAATATTTTTATAAACAAATAATAAAAATTACAAAATAATAAAATTAATAGTCAAATCTAGTCAATATGTGAGTGCCGTAAAGTTATGATATTTTAGAACATCTCTTTCTTAATTAACGATGACACTGTTTCTATATGAAGCTGATTTCGACATTTTGTTTTAATAAGATTTAGTATCGAAAATATTCTTTCAAAACTTGCCTAGGTATGTGAGGTTGAAAGCTATATTATAATGGTTCATTCAAAACCTTTTTTCATAACGTACAATGGCAAAAAACCGAGAAGGCGAAGACAAAAAGAGAATAAAAAAATTTCCCGCAGTGAATTTTCAGAGCTATATATTTATAGTATTCATCACAAAATTGTACTAAAAAGTACTGCGTAGGAGGAAAGTATATTGTAAACGAAATTGTATCAAAAGAGTACAATTGTACCTAAAATGCCAACACTGATGCGGCACAAAGCAGAACGCAAATAATAGGTTTATTCCACAAGCTACTCGAAGTCAAATTATTTTCAACCTCTCACTCGAACAAATGAGTAAAATCCAGCTGTTAGACTATACTCGATAGAGACAAAAACTGCGGGCACAAATAAGAGTAAGTACATGGTACAATTATTACAGGTATTGTCTTCCCAGAGAGTTTTGCTTCACATCGAAATTCGTGCTCCCTTATTTTCAGTTTGACGCTTTTCAATGTTGATTCTTTTACTTTTTATTTGGCTTTGCTTTTGGTTTTCGCTCAATTAAATTTTTATAATTTTTCAAAACAAAAAAAAACGTTTGAAATAAAGTCAGCAATAAAAATTCTCGATTTGTTTACTAAGCAAATGTTTATTTTGCGGGTTTTGCAAATTAAATAAGTTCTCTGCAAGAAGGTCTGTTTACAAAAAATACGTGGACATATATGGTATATGGTGAAAAGAAATATCCCTTTTTCTTTACAGTAAACCTTTAAGTGTTGGCAACCATGATATTTTAAAAATAAGGCAGATCGGAATATACGCTCTCTGGGAAAACAATAACTATAATTATTGTACCATGGAGTAAGCAACGTGTATTAAACAAGGTGTGATTGACAACTCAGTGCGGCTCTCTTTTAAGGTACTATAATGTCAAAAAGTATAAACAAACGAATTAACCCTTAGTGATGCATGTATCTTGTCAGCACTGATACCCAAGGCTTTTATTTTGATTATAGTTTTGTTTTACTTACATTACCTGGAATATATATATTTTGGCAATAAAATAAAACAAATTGTTTATAAAATCATTTTAGCAATTTTATTGTTTTTAATTGCCCAAGTTTTATGCTTTTGTGCATTTATTTTTATATTTAAATTTTTTAACCTAAACATTATTCGACACTTATAAAAGTATGATTTTACATTTGTTTTCAATTTTATATGAGTGCTTAACTGTAACAATTTTTAAATTAAGTTTTTTTCATGCGAAATAGATTGAGTATAAACGAGCTCGTTTGAAAGTGCTTGGCTCGGACGGACAACCAATGAAATCACTTTCCTTAAAGTGATTTTCACAAACGCGAGATGAATCACGTAGTACAACACCATCACACATCGCTGCTGTCTTAACTCGCAACTAGGTGGTTTAAAACATCGCACTATTTTCGTGTCCTGACTTCTATTGCATACAGCGCACCGTTCAAAAGTTTTGCTCTGTTTCATCTTGGTTTCCTTACATTAAATATTTAAGCAAAGTCGAACGTATTTACTTATTACCTTTATTATTACTTTATTACTTTAAATGCGCTTACTTGCTCTCCTCGGCGGTTTATCTCTTAACAATTTCAAGTTTGTTTAGAAAATTTGTTGCTTGAAAAATTTTTGTGTAAATTTTTTTTAAACAAATTCAAATTTGAAAAAAAAAAAATTTCAAATGGGTTAACAATTCATTCCAATTTGACATTATAGCCTGTTTCTTATGAGAGCGATGTCATAATCAATCACACTTTGTTGAATACATTTTGGGAGTAAGTATATTTGTGTGTTCTTGTTTTGGTGGAAATTACTCTTAGTCCTTTTTGAAATTAGTGTAAGTACTCAATTGCACTAATTGTTATGGATCATGAATAAGTACCAGACATGGGCGTAGTGAACTAAATTTCAAATATAGTGAGGCTTATTTTTTTCTAATCCCACTAAAAGTAGTGGGACTCAGATTTTTTTTCACTACCACTAAATGCGTTAGTGGTAGTTGAAAAAATGTTCACTAAAAATAAATGCCTTTAGTGGTAATTGAATTTTTTTCCACTACCACTAATGAGTTTAGTGGTAATGTAAAAAATTTTCAATCAATTCAAAAGTAGTGGAATCAACAGATTTTCCACTAAACCAAATATAGTAAAGTAATTAGGCCTTTTCAAGTGATTTTTGGAAATGTATCGGCTTTTGAACATATGTACATTTATTTTCTAACATAAGTACATATCAATTTACAGTGTATTTCAATACAATTACAATATTTCTTTAAGATAAACACAAACACAAATTTCTTCAAAAACTTACACGTACAACGTGTACAAAATTTATTTGATATACATACAGCCGCACTCAGAGACGTTCCTTAAACTAACTCTAACGGGAACTTAACTAATGAGCATTAAATCTGTTAATGTTTCCTCTAAGAGTTAAAAACTATGAAATGAAAAATTTAAGTATGGCCCCAGTTGCGGCCCTTTATTTTTGTTGTGGCTGATAATAGACTTTAATTGCTTTGAACATTGTTTGCTTTCATTAGAACAAGTTTTTCAAAATTCGAATCAAGCAGATTCTTTCTGCGGGGAGCGTTTACTATCCCTGCAAAAGAAAATAGGCGCTCTACAGGAGCAGAGGACGGAATCGGAGTGTTAAATTTAAGGAACACCTCCCTAATAATTTTGTAATTCTCCAGGCAGTTGAGAGAAGTATTAGGATCTACCAAATAAGTTTCAAGCTGCCTTCGAATCTCCTCCTGCTCAGTCGTTTCGGGTACCCCTACTATTAAAGGAAGAGTTGAAATCAATTTACATCGTAAAAGCATTATCTTACTGCTTGCATCTTCAAACTCCAAAAACGAGTCAGATGGTTCTAAAGTTTTTGTTGTTTGTATCGCTAGGTTGGTTCATTTGGGAATGAACTGAGCAGCGTGCTCAATAAATAAATTTTTTAAAACATCCACAGTTAAGTGGGGTGCTGTTCGCTGCAGCACTGACAAAAATCGGAGCTTGACAGCTGGACATGACATCGCCGCTATGATGGCCAAGTTTGCCTCTTCATCTCCTTAAAATTATAAATGTGTAAAATTTCTTTAGCTTAAAAGTCGAAAGCATACCTTCAAAAAATTTTTGAAATCTCTTGTGTAGACAATCTACCAGTTCGCTGCAAACAGAACCAAGCTCACGTATTTCAAAGCTTTCTTGAAATTTAGTTAGTTTGATTTTCAAAGATATTAGGGCAGCAATGAAGTAGCCGAAGTACATATGTTGATCTGCCTGCAAAAAGTCGATGGCACTTGCGATAGTCTCCATTAACTTAGTGTAACTCTCCAAGTACTCAATATCGGACATTGCAAATTTCGTTACATTTAGAGTTGTGCATAAAGCCGATAGCTTGTCCTTGTGCTTTAGAAGGCTTTGAACACTATCAAAGAGAGAGTTCCAGCGTGTTACTGTTGGTGTCTTGAGTGATGAACACAACACATCTCTTATTAGTTCCGCCGATTTCGGACGACCACATTTATTCCAAATATTTGAACAGCTAAATAGTAATAAAAAGAATTTAATTTCAACACAACGTAACACATTTTTACCGCATAAACGACTGCTTGTGGCGCGTATAAAGCCTTTCGTATTTTTTTATAATTTGTGAAAAATCCGTTGTGGACAGGAGGTTCAGTGTATGGCTGGCACATCGAAAATGGCCCGGCAATTCCAGTGAGTCATTCAAAAATTCAAAGTCATCCGATTCATAGTCCTCTGAATCGCTTTCATCATCAATCGTTTTATCTATGTGTGTATATCACAAAGGTAAGTATATAGGGGTAATCCATCTAGACCTTTTTCAAATTTTTAATAAAACAATTGAAACGGAACTGAATGTCTGAATCTTTATTATTATCCGAAAGAACAATCTCTGAAATTTACTTTTAAAAAATAACACAGGTTTACAAAAAAGAAAAAAAGGTTATGCATACATATTAAACCAAACCTACATATATATCCCTATGTTATTCGACACGCTGAATGCGAATCCGAGGTCCGTTAGCCTCCATCACGTCAGGTTCATGGTCAGTTGAAGGTCAAGTAGGAAAAAATTCATTGTATAAACCTAAAAATTCATATATGTATATTGGGTTTTAGATTCGCTTAACCCGAATCCGAGGTTTGTTAACGTCCATAATGTAAGCTTCGAGGTCATTTGAATTTTTCCCTACTTGACCTTCAAATGACCACGAACCTGACGTGATGAAGGCTAACGGACCTCGGATTCGCATTCAGCATGACGAATAACAGGGATATATAGGTTTCGTTTAATATGCATACACTTTTTTTTTGGCAAACCTGTGTAATTTCATTCAAATGTTGGCCGCAGACAGGGCCAACATCACTCGCGTAATTCGCCCATTGCTGGAAAGAGTAATTGAAAATTGGACCTTCGGAATGGACCACCTACAGCGTAGTCGCGGCCAATATTTGAATGAAATTATTTTTAAAAAGTAAAAGATTGTCAGAAAGTCAGAGATTGTTATTTTGGGTAATAATAAAGATTCAGACATCCAGTACTTTATAAAAATTTTAAAAGCAAAGTTCTACATATTACATAGTGATGGGCACACCTAAATACTTTTGTACCTAAAGTACCACTTTGAGTACTAACTACACAAATACTTATTATTTGGAGATGTCTAAATATTCAAGTAAAAAGAACTTAGGACCATATCGGGATTTTCGGGACTTATATCGGATTTTTGGGACTTTCGGGATTCTCGGGAGTAATTTCAGGATTTTTGGAACTAATTTCGCGATGTTTGGTGCTTTCGGGACTATTTCGGAATTTTTGCGACTAATTTCGGATTTTTATGAGTTTCGGTACTATTTAGCAGCTCCTAAATACCTAAGTAAATAGTACTTTGGTATTTACCACAACACATATACCTAAATACTTTTGTACTTTATACTTAGTAAATACAATTTTGCCCATCAGTGGTATTACATTGTCTCAATAAGTTTCGCATCAAATTTATCTTCATTTATTCGGTGAGTAAAATATAATTAGGGTATTCACAAGATGTCGTAAGCGTCGTAATGTCTTAAAGTCGTAAATTTTTTCAATGTAAAATAACGGTTGAAACGGTTTTAAGGGATTTTTAGGGTATTAAAAAAGCTATTTATATATTTTCTATCGGTTTAGCCATATTTTGGTGTGATTAAAAATGCTCTAAACGCATTTTAACCGTTATTTTACATTGAAAAATTTTACGACTTTAAAACATTACGACGCTGACGTCATCTTGTGAATACCCTAATTGTGTCAATTTCTATTTTTTGTGAAAATCTGCATACACCAATATGTAAGTATAAACTCTTTTAACCGGGATTTTCGATTATCCGTGATGAGCTCGGTCTCGAGCAACCCGGATAACCGAAGTTCAACTGAATGTACAAATACAATTTTTCTAAATCATGTGGGACTCAAAAGTTACCTGTTATACCATATTCTCGAAACGCTTTGCAAAAATTGGAGCCATTGTCAGTAATCGTGAGTATTACTTTGTCATTGTTCAAATTAAATTGTGCATGAATAACACTTATCATCTCGGCGATTCGGTCGTATGTGTGGCTCCCTTTAAATCCACGGCAAGCCAAAGCTACTTGTTTTCTCTGGTAACTAAGTGGACATATCCAGTGGCATGTATACCCGAAGAATGATCTCTGACCAGCGGACCATATATCTGCAGTTGTGCAACAGTACTGGACTTTAATAAGTATATCAGCTGTAATTGACACCCACTCTGCGTGTTTATGGTTGAGTATATTTGCAATTGCACGCCTACTTTTAACTTTTAAATGACACCCTCTGAATAGACTTTGAAATTCGGGCTTTTCAACTGTACTTAACGGACTATATGTAGCTGCAAGAAACATTAGCACCCTCTCATTAAACTCCTTGCTCTTTGTGTCACATTTATTAATTCTTTTCAATTCAGTAAATTGTTCATATTCGCTTTCATGATGAATTCTTAAATGCCTAATGAAGTTTGAAGATACACCCAAAGAGCCTTTTATCTTCGATGAACATATTTTACATGCAGCCAAGATGCCCCCCATTTTTTTCAAGTACTCTGTTTCATCTCTCTTTATAAAATATTTAATTTAGAAGAGATAAATATAATTATAAAACTTCCTTACCTTTTGCACCACAGTGAAAAATCTGTTTTCAAACAGAATACTGTTTGTTCCTTTAAGTTGAAGTTGATTTAGTAATTTACCTATGCCTTCATCATTATTTTGGAAACTTCTATAAACAAAGTAGGCTTCTAGTATTTTCCATAAAATTTGGCCACATATGCATTACAAATAGAGGTGCTTATTTTCCACTTACCCAGGTTCTTGCATCACCTTTCTTGTTGTTTTTGACGGTGCCGTTTCAATAATAGCTCCCTTTCTTTTTAAAAGTCGAGGAGCACACGTTTTCAAGTTGCTACTACTTGGACTGAAAGTAGGGTCAATTACACTATCGTCACTATCAAAATCGAATGATTCCATTATATTTATTTATACATATAACTTTAAACAAAAAATACTCAAATACAAAAAACAATTGATCCACACGTGGTTATCGTTCACCAAATCAGTAACCTTATTAAGTGCAACGAACAGCTGAATAGTTTGGTAAAACCTACCAACAATTGGTGTAAGATCGCCGTTGGTCACATGGTAATTCGATCACTCGCCCAGTAAACACAATCTCTAACGCTAAAGAGTTAAATACTTATTAATTTAAATTAGCGTCTTGCTTGCACATTATGCTAAACTAAACCATTCATAATCCTTAATGTTTGCTGGGCTTTACATCGTCATGATGCTTGCTAGCGGGAAGCAGAAGCACAAAGCAGAAAAGGAAAAACGTACCGAGCGCTTGTATTCAATACGGCCTATCTGCAAATTAAAAAATGTGAGCTTCTCATTCAAAAGTTTATCTCTGACTTAACTGACATTAATTGTATTAATACTATATCGATTATTTATGGAACTATCTATTGAGTTCCAAAGGTAGAATCAAGAATCAGAAATGACAGTTGAGCCATAGATGGATTTACGGAACAGATAATTAGCTTTCGGTGTGTTCATATGGATAATAAGCCTTCGGTATGTTCATATGGACATACCGATATATGTACAAACATACATATGTGCATATACATATATGTACATATTAGAGGGCTGCATGAATTCATTCAAACTTCTAGCCAAACAGAGTACAGTAGATTTGAATATTTTACTTCACATACAAAACACTCAGCGTTTGGAATTTTGTAAGTTATGAATATACACAGCCCGGACTTTTTTTTCGGGCAGAAATGTGCAAGAAGTCAATCTGAAATAACAGTTGTTGTTTGTTTACATCCGAGCGCAAATTTTGTAAAATACCAAAATGGAAAATAGCAGAAAAGTTTCAGAAATGTAGGTATTTGCTAATTTTATTAGCCATATAAGATAAATACACATAAAATCAATGTTTAGAGCTGATTTGTTGATTCCGGGCACTAAATGTGTTTTTTTGCGTTCCTCACGCTCTGGGCACTTTTGGCACGATTTGACTTATTTTTAACACTTGTGAGAGAATAACTTATTTTTACGCTCTAATTACCGAAACAGCCCGGAAAGCGTGAGGAACAAAGCTAATATAAAGAAATGTTTCAAATTTTAAATTTTGTGGGAAAACGCAATCAAAGTTTGATCAATTCATACAGTTGGTATACCAAAAGATAGATGGAAAGACACATATCTTCGCCATTTTTGGGAAGTTTAGTCATCTGTTAGGCTGAACATATTCTCATCAAGCTTATTAATTGTATTATGAAATCTCCAAGAACGTAGTTTTTAATTACATTTCTATATTATTAAACTTGCGATATCAGTTTTTCCTTACTACCAAGCATTAGTATTATTTAGTGGAAACACGGCTTTTTTCCACTATTTGCAAGATTTAGTGGAAATAGTTTTTAAGCCATTAATATTAATTTAGTGGACATTTTGTCAGCTCCAATATCACTAGGCTGGGAGTGGAAGGCATTGTGCACTACCACTAGAAATAATAGTGGTAGTGAGAACACTGATTTTTTCCACTAAAAATGTTTGTTCATAAAATAAACCAGCTCCACTATCGCTATAGTAGTGGTAGTTAAAAGCATAGTGCACTCAAAGATTAATGCACTACGCCCATGTCTGATAAGTACACTAATTTTATTAGTACTCAAAGCCGGGCTCTGATATGTATTGTTCTTTTCGATTCCAAAGTACTCGCCATTCCGATTCAACCCTTGTTAACTTTGAATACTTCAACTGGCTGACTATGTATTTCATCGAGCTATTTAGTTTCTGGGCAACTGGGTTTAAGTTTTCAAATAAGGTTAAATTGACTACACAAAGAAAAAAGTAAGATGATTTTGTCAATGTTATTGTGGCTATTAACATTTAGTTTTAATATTGTTATTGAGCTTTGTACCACGATTATTTGATTATTACTTTCCATTTTTCCTAATAAAATAATCTTGGTACAAAGCTCAATAACAATATTAAAAGTAACATGATTTTTTCAAACAGCGTCATTTCCAGGGTTTCATTTTGAACAGAAAAAGTATTTTATAAAGCATTTTCACATTATCGTAATTTACAGTTCATTCGTAATTCATAAATAACAATGCTGAAATCAAGTAATGAAAAATTGGTCAATAAATGTGAAATTCGCGAAAATTCAACCAATTTCAAAAATTTGCTATCAAAATTAAAATT